AGAGAGAGAGAGAGAGAGAGAGAGAGAGAGAGAGAGAGAGAGAGAGAGAGAGAGACTACCCCTACTACCACCAAAATAATAGGAATTAACCATCATTGGTCATTAATATTTTTCAATACCAATGGACACAATTCCTCCATGAAAAGATCTAGAGTAGAAGAATAGTGTGAAAACAGGACCCATTCTTCTGTTGCATACAAGAAAAACCCCTAATATCGAATGTAAACATCACCTCATTATCTCAGAATAAAGCACTGGTCAAAGAATTTCTAAGCAAATGGATATAAGAAGCAGGTTGGTTTTTCCATTCTAACATGTAACAAAAGAGACTTCTGTGATGACTTGAAAGGCAATGGCCTGAAATGGACTGGGCTATTAGGAGGAGTGGCCTTGTTGGGGTTGCTGTGGTCTTGTTGGAGGAAACTAAACAGAGAAATACTAGAGCTAACAGACATGATGTCCCAAATGAACATAATAGCTATCTACATCACATATCACCCAAATGCTAAAGAATGTACCTTCTTCACAGCACCTCATGAATTTTTTTTTCAAAAATTGACCACATACTAATTCACAGAACAAGTTTCTACAGATACAAGAAAATTGAAATAATCACTGTATTATATCTGACCACTACAGATTGAAGCTGGAATTCAGGGAAACAGAAACAAAAGAAAGCCTGCAAACTCATAGAAAGTTAAGAACCCTATACAGAATGATAACTGGGTTAAGATCAAGGTAAGAAAGAAATGAAAAACATTACACAGTTCAATGAAAATGAATGCACAACGTACCCAAACCAATGGGCAAAATGAGAACATTGCTACGAGAAAAGTTCATAACTTTAAGTGCCTCCATATATAAATTGAAGAGATCTCATGTTAGCAACTTAACAGCATATCTGAAAGATCTAGAACAAAAAAAATCAAACACATCTAAGACAGCAGGAAATAATCTAACCGAGGGCTGAAATCAACAATGGAGAAACCAAGAAAATAATACAAATAATCAATGAAATGAAGAGTTCATTCTTTGAGACAATCAACAGAATGGATACTACCTTGTTGTGGGATGTTCTGTATGCTATGAATATGTGTTGCTCCTATTGGTTGATAAATAAATGCTGATTGGCCAGTAGCCAGGCAGGAAATATAAGCAGAATAAGCAGAGAAGGAGAATTCTGGGAAGACGCAGGCTGGGACAGGAGAGGACGGCCTGCATTCCGGGAAGCAGCATGTAACGACAAACAGGTAAAGCCACAGAGCACATGGCAACAAAAAGATTCACAGAAATTGGCTGAGTTTAAGTGATTATTTAAAAAACAGCTATGGGTTCCGTGGGGCAGGGCTGGGGAAACCTTTCACCTACACCACCTAATCCAAACTAACTATAAGCCAGGGAGAGAATATACAAATTAACAAAATCAGAAAGGAAATGTGGGACATAACAACAGACATCTAAGATAACAAAGGCATCACTAGGGCACACATTAAACACCTGTAATCCACAAAACTGAAAAACCTAAAAGAATTGAATAATTTTCTCATTGTTTACCATTTTCCTAAGTAAAAGCATGGTCAGATAAACAATATAAAGAGCCCTATAACCCCCAAGGAAACAGAAGTTCTCCATTAAAGTTTCCCAAGGAAAAAATACAGAGTCAGTAGATTCCAGTGTAGAATTCTTCCAGACTTAAGAAGAGCTCATGCCAGTACTCCTTAAATTATTCTTAGAAACAGAAGTAACATTGCCTCATTTTATGAAAACATAGTCACCCCAATACCCAAACCATAACAAGTTTCAATATAATTACAAAATATAATTACAGGCCAATTTCCCTCATGAACATTGATACAAAAATATTCCTCTAAATACTAACAAAATGCATCCAAGAACACATCAAAAAGATCATCCACAAGATCAAGTA